TCTAACAAAAAGATAAAAAACAAGTAAAAAACGAAGGAAGTAACTAATGTAGCAATTAACTGTAATTTTTTATGAGCATGTATGTCTCCGACTGCATAATACCTACTATATTCTTTCGTCAACTTGTTTTCTTTTTTTTAGTTAGCTTTTATGCAGTCGGTTTTTTTTGTTTTAATAATACATATTCCTATTTACAGCTTTTTAATTTTTGTCAATTAGATATTTGAAGATACATAGTATATTTAGCATTTTTTTATCCTAAATTACTTTGAAGTCAGTCACAGTTATATTACCTTTATTGCAGCAAGAAAAGATATTGTTGGTATAAAGACTTGATACCGGATAAGGACAAGCCATGGTCTTTTATGCCGATATATGAGTACAAAGTGGTGTTCAGTAGAAGTTAATGGTTAATTGCAGAAAGCAAATTAGGGGCTCGGAACAAATAAATCAAGTCAAAAATCACATGGCTTAGTTTAGGAGATATAATACATAAAAACACGGACAGACCACAACATATTCATACTTAGTCTCTACGCAAAAAAGCATATAAAAAAGCAATTTGGACAATTATTATAGTTACTTTAATCACTATAATGTACTTTATTACAACTAGTAATTCATTTATATATCCATAATGGCACACTATTTGGACCATTTCGCGTAATTATTTAATATCAAACATTATGGTTTGATAGCATTCGTAAAACATTTATTGCGAAAGTCTATTTACTTACTCGTAATAATTCTTATTTTCGTAAATTTGATTACTTAATATCGGATATGACCATTTAGGTAAATTGTAAGTGAATGGACAAAAGTTAGAAGATCATTTGAAAGTATGGGAAAGTTTGTAAGGATTGATGGCTGGATGTATATTTGTTACTCTTTCACGCCTCTCTCATCTTTTATCTTTCATCTGGATAAAATTTGGCAGAGAGATAGGTTATAGTGGAATAGCACATAGATTACTTTTCATCCCGGAAAAATGTACGGTTCCCGTACGATAGATTTATTTTTGTCTAGAGACGAACCCAAAGCGAAATGAGGGTGGATCGCTAGTCTATTCATACAGTTTTTCTTTTAATAATGTTTATAATCGAATATCGGCCATAGGGCGAGCTTTAGAATTAATAATATTGCAGCCCTTTTTAAAAATCCCACTGCTTGGCACGAGCCACTCTTAGTATGAGAATGTAGATGAGATTCTTGTCAGCAGGTTCGTGCTTTCGGGAACTACTTAGGTTCTTCCAGATATGGATGATGAAGGAAAACTTCATTTAAGAGGTGTTGATTGAATATGATTCGTTAAACTACAAATATATGAGATTAGTAGTGTAGTGTCTAGTGCAAATTGCTTGCGTAAATCACGATTTGATTATTTTTCTTGTCAATTTACTTTGCAAATACAGCCTAAATACTCAAATTTACTTACCTTTCTGTTATTTGTTTTGAGCAAAATTTCATATCGGTCATTTGGCTTTCTACGTTAATTAATAAATTTGTGTAATTTTGACTTCAACAGTGTTGATTTTCAATAATGATGTAAATAAACCAGATCAATTTAGTATCCAGCTTACTATTAACATAAACATAAAATATAAAAATAAAAACCGACTTCAAACAAAAACACTAAAAAGTAAAAAATAACTGATTGGTAGTTTTCATTTACTATACATACCTAATCAAATATTTTCGAAGTCGGTGTACTTTGCTTTGTATGGGCTGGCACCGATTTCGAAAATATTTGATTAGGTATGTATTTAATAGGTAGGCTTTAATTACTTAGCCAAAGCAAACCGACTTCGAAAATATTTGATTAGGTATGTATAGTAAATGAAAACTACCAATCAGTTATTTTTTACTTTTTAGTGCTTTTGTTTGAAGTCGGTTGGAAGTTATTTTTTTATTTTGGTTGGAAGTTATTTTTTTGTTAAAAAGTTTTTATTTTTCCCTTTTTAGTGTAGACAGTAGGAGCAAAGTAAGAATTCTAACGTATTAGGCTTGTCAAATCAAACAAAACAAGCCCAAACTCAAGGTATCTACTATTAGCTGTTGAAGAGTTTCACCTATCCACCTTCGGGCCTTACCATCAGATCAGGTCAACAATACCGAACCACAGTACTATCAACGGAAATAGAAACAGTTGCAAAGTTTCAAGTCAATATGACAATTAGAAGTAGGTTAAATTCATCATTAGCTATTTTTCCACCCTTAGGGGTAGTATTTTTTTTTGAAATTTAAATGAGACCAATCTGGAAGTATACCCTTTCAAACAAAACAAAAATAGTCCAAATCGGTTAATAAATGACAAAGTTCTGAGGTAACAAACATAAAAAAAATACAGTCGAATTGAGAACCTCCTCCTTTTTGAAGTCGGTTGAAAATATATATTGATTTTACTTACGTAATTTGTTTTTAGCCTAATAGTCACATTGAACTTTAGAAGCGTCTAACCAAGAAGCTTTTTAAGTAAAAGTCGTATAAAACTTCTAGATCTAATTGCTTAAGATCTATCCAAAGATAACCCACACGTTTCTATCTATTCACCTCTATGTATTTTTACTGTAAATAATTTGACCACAAAACTGTCTTGAAGTTCAGATGATATAACCTACATACTAACAAATTTTGATAAAGCATTAAAAACGTTGGGAACCTGAAAAATAAATCCACGAAAAATTCCATAAACATAATAAACAATAGAAATTTCACAAATTCTACTTAAATTTTTTATCTCCCTGCCCATGGTCGGAACTATATATTTGTCAAAAATTTTATCACATAATGGTAGTCTCGTCGTTGTGACCGTATTTTTTTTATTTATGGTAAATGAATATAGTAAAACTTTTGATTCAAATCTCAACACTGTATCTATTGCTAGCACACTTACAAAGACATTTTTTAAAGGTCACATAAGCGAAGATTAATTTAGAGAAGTTTAATTAGTGATACGCCACCCTTATACACATTCAAATGAAGCGAAATCATGATTGATAGATAGCCTACAAAATGGCTATTAACTATAAATCAATTTAAACATAATATATTTAAAACATTAATGTATCGAACAAAAAAATATTGAATAGAAGTGATTAGAAATCTAAGAAAGATAGCTCATGTTCAAGCATGCGTTCTAAATTAATCATTGTTTTTATTGTACGTGCGAGATTATACGTTTTTGTTAAATCAATTGGAATTTTTATTAAAAGCGTTCTTAAATAATTAGATGTCATTGACTAGTGGAAATAATTTACTACGATGGTGATAGGTTCGATGTCCAAATGATGCAACATACATATGTGATTTACAAAAAAGACACAAAACATAAGTCATAATATTATATACAAGATTACGAGGAAGGCAGATTGATAATTTATATGCATATACATATGTATAACTAGCACATATATAGTATATACAATTATAATCGTATAAGCTTTAGAAGATATAGGTTTAAACTTATAAAAATCATTTTTATCCAAAAATGAACGAGTTTGTCGCATATAAAATTTATAAATTCAACGTTATTAACTGTACGTCGGATCGTACGTATATTATCTGGGAGCTTCAAGAAATATATTTATCAAAGATATCAACAGGTAGAGTACATCGAAAAATTCTAAGGCTTATTTTTTTAAGCAATCCATCAATTTATTACATTACACAATTTATATGATATAAAAGCTTGTCACGAGATTTACTTGTGTAGATAAAGAAGAATATAATAATTAATTTGGTTTGATTTAAATTAAAGTTTATTTTCCTCCTTTTAAATCATTTAAATAAAAGCTTATGATTAAAAATTATTTTTTACTATTAATTATTTTAAATGTATAGTTAAAGAAAATAAAAAATATATAATATTCATTCAACATTTTAAATGAAAATATTAATATATCAGTAATTAAATATGATCAGTCACGTTATAGGTACTAACTATATAGTACGAATGTGCTTAATAGATTTTAAAACATATTTTTTCCTTGTATTATAATTTATTAGTGACTAGCGACTCACTTAAAACTTAGCAAGTTTTCAAAAGACATGTGAAGTCCGCCAACTCGCACTTGGCCAGCGTGTTGAACTATGGCCTGATCTCCCTCGTATTGAAGGGAGGCCCACCCCCAGCAGTGGGATGTTAAAAAGGGCTGAGTACATAGCGACACACTCTAGTAGCTTCGCTCAGGTTCGTCCCTAGGTACTTTTTAACGGTTAGCGTGGAATATACATAACTTGTTTTTCCATAGGAACGAAATAATTTCCCATGATAAATAGTAGTCTATGTCACTCTCTAGCCCTCTAACTATCTTCACACAAAAAAACGACAATTTAGCACTTCATTTTGACGTGAAAAAAGGACAAATAAACAAACAAATAAAGTCAACGTAAAATAATTTGTATATAGTAGTAAGAGAAAGTGTCAAATATACAAATGCATTCAAGTAGTTTATATATTTGTTTATTTGTTTTTAAAACAATTTTCTGACGAGTTTTAGTTTTACTTTTTCAACAAAAAAATGTTAACAACAGTTACTTTTTTTATATAAATAGGTAAATTCTATTCATAAATGTTTTTCTCAAGTTTTCAATAATGATTGTGGTCCAATTTCAAACACGACAGGTGGCGAGCACTAGTTTGTATTAAAAGTCTAGATTAGAGTCACACAGTCAGGTAGGTCACTTTAGTTCTCTGCTTTCTTAAAATTTAATTTATTGGTTTTATTTAAGAAAATGCCTATAAGTACATATGTATTATACTTAAGTTGTTTTAATTATTGCTTTCACAGACTAATATAATTTTACTCATAGTCTCTGATAGGACTGTGAATTGATTTTCCAAATTTCATTATTTCATCTCAATCGTTAAAATACAATTACTAGCAATATCACAAATATAAAAACCTTAAATTTTTTAAATAAAAATATAATTGTTTTTATTACAATTTGTCTTAAATTTTAAAACAATTAATAGATATATTAATACAATAAAGACTCACGCCATCGTCAATTTCATCAGACCTTACGATCCCGACAAACAAAACTAATAATAGAAAGCTTTTCATTTTTATATTATGGTCCCTCACTTCACAACACTGACTAAAGATCTATAGATCTTTATGTGACACGTTATACTGATAGCAAATGCAGAAATGCGTATACTAATACTGTTTTATACACACACGCACGGATGCACATGTAGTGGGGTATTTCATGTTAATATATGATAGTTTCTAGTTGAACAAGAGTGCAAAGTACTACTCTAGTTCTAGCACTCAGTTTTACCTGTTATATATTTTCTTATAGCTTGTATTGCGTTTAAATAATATTAAAGGATACATTTCTGTATGTATCTTTTATTTCGCATATCGCAGAAACGGATTTGATGATTTAGATCAAATTATGAATTTAGACAAGGTGTTCCATTTTAATTTTATTTATATAGCTTTATTTTCTAAAGAAACGCATTTTTTATATATTTTGGGAAAAAAAACCCTGAGTAAAGTTCGGTTGCCTAGATACTGTATTTAAATGTTTAAATAGAATAAAATGAGAAATCTGATATTGAAATAACTCGAGTTTGTTTATTTATATGTATTATAGCAAAGGCTGCCAATTTTCAAAGCAAACTTTAATCAAATTGTCAATCTGTTTGTGGCTCTTTATTTTTGTAATAGTTATTTGAGTTTGAAAAGGCTTTCACTGGATAAGATTTAGGTAAGATTGATAAAGATTTATTTTTGGCTCAGAAAAGAGAAGGGATTAAACAGAATATAGGATATTTTTTTTATGATTCTCAGCTTAGATTGCTCGAGCTCGCTATTGTCAAAATAAATATAATAAACAAATTTGACTGTTGGTTTATAGCACGCACATTCCTATACAATTTATCAAATTCGGATATAAATTAAAATTTATTATTCTATTCAATAGGAGAATAGGATAAATAATTTAGCTGTAACATACTGGTATATATGATATGTTAAATGAGCGTTTTGGAAATAGCTCTTTATTTAAGTCCAGTATATTCAGTTAAATAATTAATAATTTAAGCGTATTAAAAGTTTGAGAGCATAAAAAGTTTCGTACTGTGGAGTTAATTTCATGCACGAACTTTTATAACTGATTAATATGATCAACTTTTCTAGCCAACTTTGCAACTTTTTTTTTCTTTATTGTAATTTATAGTAAAGTTTTAAATGTTTGCAGCTGTTTTATTTAGAACTAGCAACTCACCCTCGTTTCACTCGGGTTCGCTTCTGGAAAAACAAAAACAAATCTATCCCTCGTTAACCGTATATTTCGTAATCGACGAAACTTATTTAAGTTTAAAATTTTATTTAATACCAGGATTTAGGCAGCTCGAAACCCTCTTTTGATTCATTTATTGACTTTGACATAATTGATATCAGTTAGATTTCGTAATACATAACTAAAAGGAACTATGAATAAGATATTACAATTTCAATATTTATATAAATCTTAGGGATTCATTCTAATTTGCTTGGAATTAATGAAAATTTTGAGTTAAATATAATATATTATATATTTTGAATTAAAATTTTAGTTATACCTAAAACCTTTATATTATGTACAATTAAAAGTTTTTGATACCAGTTAAATGAAGTTTAAAATTTAAACACAACAACGACAAAAACACCTACCAAGAAACTATAAACAATATATACACATAGACCGACAGACTGTATCTTTACTTGTCCAAATTTCAAATTTCTTTATGATCTCTGAGTTCGTACTTTTAATTCATACTTTTAATAATTAATTTTATTATTTTTTAAATGTCAGTATGTAAGTCCGTGAGAAATCTAGCAAATGCTCCGACCGCTATAAAAAACTCTTTCAGTTTTTTCCGATTTTCCCATTTTCCGGTCAACTTTTCCCATTTTTTCCTTAGAAGCCTAAAATACTATAATGAATATTAAAAAAAAGTAGTTTCGTCAGAATTTCATTTTATTTTATACATAAATGATAAACAATAAAACATTATTTATATTGGACTATACAATACTCGTAGTATATTCATTTTTTAAAGCTGTAGTTATTCGTGAGATCAGTCTATGTCACAGCTTCGTCAATTCTAAGTTTATTTTTATATATTTTTCTATAAATCCCACAGATTTAGTTACTCTAGATATATCTGTGATTTATCCTATACAATTATGTGTATGTTAAATATATGATTAAAAAGGCAGTGGTAGCCCAGTGGTAACGCGCTCGCTTGAGAAACAGAGTGAAGCGGGTTCAAATCCCGGGTCTCGCACCTCTGATATTTTCATGTGCGAATCATTTCTAACATGATTACCACTTGCCTTACGGTGAAGGAAAACATCGTGAGGAAACCTGCATGTCTGAGAGAACTTAGCAAGTTTTCTAAAGACATGTGAAGTCCGCCAACCCGCACTTGGCCAGCGTGGTGGACTATGGCCTGATTCCCCTCGTACTGAAGGGAGGCCCGTGCCCAGCAGTGGGACGATAAAAAGGGCTGAATACACAATACATCCTATACAAATCTCAAAAACTTCACCTCATATGTATAATAATAAACATTAATAATAGTAACTTATTGATTAATATCCAAATGTTCTTTTTTGTTAAAAAGTAAATCATATAAGTGACTGAAGTGAAAAAAAAAACAATAATATATATAATTAAAGTCACAAAAGTCTATAAAAAAAATTAAAAACCAATAAAAAGAATAAAATTAGTTCGAATATATTTAATTTATTAAATCGATCCTTTAGATGAAGAGTCATTAAATAATAGAAAATCGAACATTCGATTGAGTAAAATCAGAAGATTGTTGACATGTTTGTAAATGAAGTTGATAAGTTAAAAATCACTATAATGACTAAAGCGTGAGAAAGTATCATCTATTAAGGCCTAATCAGTTTACTATAAATTAAATTGTCCATATGACATATTAAGAGGCACCGCACACTGTCTACGATTATAATCTAAGAACGTGAACTTCGACGATAATGTTATATAATTTTCCTGTATATTAAAATGTAGATGGTTTTTGTAAATAGTAATACAGTAATATTAATAAATACAAACTACCAAACACACATACATGATATTTTTATTTATATATAGATATTAATTAATTTTACAAATTGCATGAACTTTTTGTGAATGATATGGCATATATGCCATAAAAATTTCAACTACCTACCTACTTATTATAATTTTATTACTGTGTATTATAATTTAATTAAATGAAATAAAGCTTTTTTAGGTCATTTTTATTCCTAAAAATTATGTGCAAAATCAAACAGCACAATAATAATAATGTATGTACACCCTCCACCATTTACCTTTATTGTATTGGATAGTGGTAGCCCACATCAAATTAGAAGAGCTAAAACTAACATGTTACAATTCTGAGCCTTGCTTTAAGATTTTGATCTTTGACTTAACAAACATTACATGCATTTTTTACGCGGTTTTATTCTCTTTCCTTTCTCTCTCTCTCTCTCTTTCTCATGATCTCTACTGTAACCATGTTTGCTTTAAAGTACGTAAAGAAGTATCGGGAGCAAAAATTATAGATAAAACCATAATAAAATTTGAAAACATAGTTTCATTTAAAACATTACATACCGTAATTCACTACCCAATTTTTATCCTTTTAGAAGCTTGATTGCTTAGTTTCCATTCATTAACATTTTAACTCGACTTTTTTAGCTTATCATTAATTGTGAATGTCAAAACCTGCATGTCTGAGAGAACCTAGCAAATTTTCGAACAAGATGTGAAGTCCGCCAACTCGCACTTGGCCAGCGTGGTGGACTATGGCCTGATCCCCCGAATATTGAAGGGAGGCTTATGCCAAGCGTTAAAAATGGCTGATAGAATATCTAATGAAACTGAATTCAATCTCTATAATATGCGGTGACACTTACACTAACACGATAGACTATTATCAAATTAAGTTTTAAGTTACAATGTCAAGTTTGAAACCAATTAATTTGATAAGTAGAAACTTAAACATTTTCAACAATAACTGTATTAATTATAATAACTTAATAATATAACTTCATAAAATAATTAAAATTAACAAGTATTTTTGGTACTTCGTACTACCATTTTTGTGTTTCTTCCAAATTATGGTATAATTTTATGGAGAGATATCGTCCGTAACAATTATATAATTACTTTAAAGACGTCTAAAAAGTTAGTCTTTCCCCTGACCTAGTTTGCTGTTTTCAGCATTCGAAACATCGGTAACAATCATCGGAAAAGAGTTTCATTAAAACTAGAAAATATTCGCGTAAGTCTAAAAAATATTATGTTTAAGATAGCTTATACTATGCTAGTGATCTATAGGAAATCCCAACAATGTTTCAATTCACTTAAAACTGGTACACTAAGTGCATTTTAAATAAAAGTATAAACTACGAGTATATCTATGCCAAAAACACAATTTGTCGTTCTTGCGTTTAATAAGAATAATTAAATAAATTAAAAGGTATATATAAAACTCATAAATGTATGTACGAGTCATAATAAGCCCCAAGAGTGGAAATTAGTTCACATTCTCTAAGACAGATCCGAGCACATTAACGATTTTTAAATAAAAAAGGGGTGGCAAAAACAAAATATATAACTAAATTGGTCAACTTCTAATGTTCGAAGTCGGTTAAAAATAGCCATATAAATATATATTTTTTTTGTAATTACAACTACTAATGTTCGCCCAGGGGCCAAAATTCGGCTATAATTATAAATATGAAAAAGTAACTATTTCCAAATTTTAAATAAAACTATCTTTTCGGATTTTTTCGCGGATTTCCTTTTGATTTTTGGTTCCCGAAGTTTCGAATGCTTTACAGCAAACATGGTCACGGGAGAGACTAAAGTTTTAGGCGTCTCAAAGTTCATTATATACTTGTTACAGACAGTGCCTACCCACAAATTTATAAAATGATTTCAAAAATTCAAACATGGTACCAAAGTACCTTACAATATCTGTTAATTTTAATTTTAAACCAAACCAAAAATCAAAATCCGCGATAAAATCCGAAAGGATAGTTATATTTAA